GATAAATGTATGGCAAAGTGGTTACGAGCAGTTGACAGATATAGAGAAGTATCCAATTACGAAAAATTATTTGAAAGTCGTTGAGCTTGAAAACTTTCTTTGCAAATTTCTTGTATGGTAAAACGAATAGATGGAAAAGAATATAAAACTGAAAGCCCATAATTGCTACGCTTCTCTTGCTCGATATCTGAAAGAACATTCAACAATTAAACCGTGTAACATATGGGATTCTTACAAATTTGAAAAGGCTTTACGAACTTTGGATGGTAAAATGAAGAAGCTACAAAAAGAAGGATTAGGGGAACTCGATACTTACTGTAGATGAAATTTTTTTAGATTTGACTCTAATGATAGCTGCAGAAAAATATGCACTTGATAATGGGCCAGAACAATATGTAGAGTATTCGGGTATGGATTATTCTAGTTATTTCGCTACGCTAATGATATATTTTAACTATTATTGTAATTTTTGTAGATTCGAGTAATTCAGCATCTACCCAACTTCAATAAGGTCTAATTATGATAAGAAATCCACTTTCAGATCCCGTATTCCAAGATTATCGGGTCAATGACCACCTTTAAAGTCTATCTCTAATCAAACGGCATCATATTTTATACCAACTTTTCATGATATCAAGCAACTTCATGAATCTTCATCCGAACATAATAATAAGGAAACATATTATTATTTCCACTATCCTTTTTAGTATTATTTGTAATATGTGGTTATTTTCTATATGTAATTTATTCTGGGCATATTAGTTTTAAAAAATATGAAATTGAGAATTTTAAAAATTTACAATTAGTATATATCACATGATTTTAATAAACATCTGCGGCAATAATATGGAATTTTTTCCGGATAATCTCATTTATTTCAGTGTGTACGGTGCATTCGTAAAATTTCTTTTTCAATCCATCATGTGTTTTATCAACTGTTCTGTGCTTTGAATGTTTTATTTTTCTTTTGTGAATTGAAGACATAACAGAAATACTACTAGGAAATGCATGTCCGGAGCTAATATAGTGAGATCTATCATATTGCAACCAATCAGAATCTCGGACAAAATTGTTCACGTGACGGTTTTTATCACTTACTGTCGTAAAAACACAGTGTCCTCCGCTTCGCTCCGGACAAATAATTTTTGGTTCGTTCATCATAAAAAGGCACTATTATAAGGAAACTTGACCGTACTTAATATGTAGTAGAGTATATTACAGTAATTTCGCAAGTATGTAAGGATAACAAAGCTTATAAAATTTAATTATAAAAGTAAACGTCCTTAACATTAAAGAACTCTAGTATTATTCTTTTTAAAGATACGATTCAGCGTAGATTATGAGAAAAATTTTTTTTCATTTAAAGAATTTTTTTTATTTTTTATTATCATACTTTTAAAGCCAATATTTTTTATGCGCGTATTAAGAACTTTGACGGTTAGATCTGTAAAAATTTTAGAATACAAATGTTCTTGAATTCAAAACAATAATATTAGAGGTTAAATATTATGAAAAAAAAATGAAGGGAAATGTGCTTTTTTGAAAATAACAAAAACATGTTTCGAATAGAATAACGTTAAAATGATGTTTTCTTTCTATTAAAATTTATAGTTTTACAGATTTTTTTATTTGGCGCAAATTATTTGGATTGATTAATGCGCCACCAACCTGGTACACATTCAAGAATTGCACCTCCAATGTTCATATTGGCACCTATTTTTTCCCCAATCTTAATACCGAAATCTGTAATATTAGCACCTATTTTTTCCCCAACCTTAATACCGAAATCTGTAATATTGGCACTTATTTTTTCCCCAACCTTTTCCCCAACCTTAATACCGAAATCTGTAATATTGGCACCTACTTTTTCCCCAACCTTAATACCGAAATCTGTAACATTAGTATCCCCATTTTTATTACTATTTAATACATCCGTAATAGTATTAATCAAGTCTCCAATTAATGTGTTGATACCTGTTTCATTTCCAACTTTAATATCATTATTACATGTTGCTTCTGCAATGGGATTATCAATATTAATTAATTCACCTCCAGTAAGCGTGTTAATACATATTTCTTTCCCAGCCTTAGTACTAGTCAGTAGATCTCCGTTACTAATTGTTTCTACAATAATATATAATTGATCTCCGTTAGGTATGTTGATTCCAGCCATCTTATCCATAATACTGCCGCCTGCAATATTATCTAATATAGTCATGCTGGTTTTAATCAAGTTTCCAATATCAAGTGATACGCCTCCAATAGGCGTGCTGATACCTACTTCTTTTCCAATTTTAATACCACAACCTACAACATTAGTTTCTATACTATTACTACCAAATGACACACCCGTACTTGTATTAACTCCTTAAATTTGTCTTTAAACCAAGACTATTAACTTCTAAATTTACTACATCTAATTTTGCTTCAAATCCAGCTTTTCCTCTATTGTCCACTATTACAACTCCAACTGATACTCCTCCACTAAAGAATTTAACTTCTTTATTATCATCTTGATATTTATATACTGAAGAACTAGCCATTAAGCCATTAAGTCCAAGTGAGGATTTAAAATGCATTAGACCGTGATTGTCTTTTTGTGTTGATGTTTTTTCAAATTCACATCCGTTTAAGATTGAAGAATTATTCATGATGATTAATATTAAAGAATTATCCATGATGATTAATATTTAATATATTAAATATGAATAATTGAGATTTATTATTTAACAACGTTTAATGTTTTAATCTTTAGATTTTTAGAGTTTTCAACAAGAGAATTTTTAACGAGAGAATTAATGAGTTATGGGGTCATTAAATACTTTTTCAAGTTCATAGATAAATATAGTTGTTCATAATGATACAATTATTCAATTTAATAGAACTAATCGGATAATTTCATATTTAGAATTTGATATGTTTAAATTTTTAAGAAGAACTGATAAGATAATCTCTTTAGAAGAGAAAGAAAAATTCATGCGCGTAAATAGCTATCACCCAAGACTATACATTCTGACTTAATTGGCCTCAATAATACGATTGTAGTATTCTTAACGTCATATCTAGTGTTACGGACAAAGTCTAAAGAAATTATATCAATACACTTGATTATTATTAATTATTGTTATAATTTCCTTTTTTGAGGTTCGCCTGAAAAACTAGCCGAATGAAATGAAATATAGACACCACCTTAATAAAAAGTTAATTGATTTATAATAGGTGTCACCTATATTATATTTCATTCCACTAGTCATATCCTTGATTCTAGAATGCTCGGATTAGAGTGTCCAGGGTACTACGGTGCATAATTCTGCTCACGCTAAAAAGAATTTTTTATAATGTTCTCATAAGAGACATGATTTAAATCACCTTTTAAATCAAATACAATGTAAAAAAAAAAAGTATTTTTAGCATGAGTAGAATTATAAGATAAGCCACTTTCCTTTTCTTGACTCATGCTTGAAGGATTCTCCGATCACGTGATTTCCCGATGTCAATAGTCTTCGAACAAAAAAACGAGTTTATAATTTGATTTAGGTATTTTTTATGGTTAAAAATCCTTTTCATTGACAAAAGATTCTCTAGAAAAATACTATAGTTAAGTTCATGTCCCACCTACTATTTTTAGTTCTTATAATCAATTTCTAGTCATTGTATGACGTTATACGTAACATTAATTGTATATTAAGTTATGTATTAAGTGGTGCAAACGAAACCTTAACGTTAGTAATGCTTGTTTATTTTTTTCGGCTTCCGATGCCATATTTAACATTAAAAATAGTAGTATAGGAAATTGAGTATAGGAAATTGATTTCCATAACGATAAGAAGGTAAACCTATAAGTGCAGAAATTCGACACGCCTTTACAACGGGTATCCATTGACATAATATTTCCGCACTAATAATAAAAATTAAAAAAAAAGAGCCATTATTTGGCATCATTAAAATTTACTGATTTAGCAGGTGTCAACAACTTTTCGGCCGAATGATAATTGATCAAATTTTAAATAATTATAAAAAATATCAAGAATTCTCATTTTTAATAGATTTAGGCTCTAAAAAAGATTGTAATAAAAATATCTTGAGCTGTTGGGTATTGGCGAAAATGATGTTTCCGCTTATACGCGAATCCAATTAAATTATAGGGCTCTAAAAAAGATTGTAATAAAAATATCTTGAGCTGTTGGGTATTGGCGAAAATGATGTTTCCGCTTATACACGAATCCAATTAAATTATAGGGCTAAGTTGGGATGGGTTAAAAAATTAGGCGCCATACAGGGACATGCCTTTAATTTATAAATTCATATATATATTTGAATATTTTCAATGACCCTGCTCTTTTTTTTTTTTTTTGCGTTGCTTGACTATTCACATTTTCGTTTATTTCCTACATCACTAGCCGATGCAATAGTCACATGGTTGTTCATGTTTGTGGCACGAGTTCCCAATAGGCATGTCCGTGCCCCAGTGTTCCCAACCCTATGTAGGACCAGCTGCATCATTGAATTGTAATACAAATAAAAAAATCCAAGAATAGTAATCATGGAAATACAGAGAATATAACCTATACTTGCTAGAGAAAGAAAATTGGTAAAGATGATAATGAAAGAGAAGACAAGACTCTGAACTCTGATCAGAAGACTGAGAAAGAAAGAAGAGACAATATTTATATCCAATAAACTTTATAGCTTAAACTATGTATGCTGTAAAGTTCTAATTTTTAATTTTAATAATTAGCGTTTATATCTAGCCAACTCTAGCTAAATCAGATCCAAATCAGGCCAATATTATAAGCACAATCGTACAATCTTAACCATTTCTTTCTTTTTTTTTTTTAAAAAAACCATAATCATAGGGATCAAACTATGATAGATTGGTTAATAATTTTTTGGGCTTATTCTTTCTAAAAAAATTAATTGATTATTGAAAATTTTAAATGTTGTTTCTGCAAGGGACGTTTATTAATGAAAAATCCAAAAACCAATGTAGTGTTCTTGCTTTTTCAATCTCAGCATTATAGTTCAGCGTTTTAAGATTTGAAGTTACAATACTATTTTGCAAGTTAATATATATATGTGTATATATTGTACATTACAGCATCACTTAAAACAATAATCCTGAATTAGTTAATTACGACTTGTAAATTATTTGAATTGTACAATAGTATTATATTGGATTATCTAATAATAAATATAACAAAATTTATTCCCTTGTAGAGGTCGTCTAAAGCCGGGTAGTTTTTTAATTGATTACAAAATTGTAAATTAAAAATCACGTGACGCATATAAATTACTACCTGACTTTAGACGATCCCTTATTGTCATCAAATCATTTACTTCGACAAAACAAATTTCATGATATTAACAAGGGTAAAGGAAAAAACAAAATAGCTATATATTCAGCTAAGTTTATCTACAATATATTTATATTATTTTAATAGCATTAATTAATTTTGTATTAGAATTAATGTGTACATCTAGTTAAAAAATGATGTAGCTGCTTTGATATTTCATTTTGTTATATAATAAAATATCTTGTTATAATCTTGTTATAATTCGCTATATTGTATTATTTCTATATTTGGATTGGTTGATTTTAATTTAAAATTAATATTATTACTCGAAAGATCCAAGAAGGTTAGTGTGATGTTCTTGCAAAGTGAATCTGCCAATGCTTTTCCTTCTTCTGGTCCAAGATCATTATTACTAAGATTCAAAGATGTCAGCGTGGTGTTTTTGCAAAGTGCATCTGTTAATGCTTTTCCACTTTCTGATCCAAGGTTATTATAACCAAGATTCAAAGAGGTTAATGTGATGTTCTTGCAAAGTGAATCTGCCAATGCTTTTCCACCTTCTGGTCCAAGACCATTCGAACCAAGATTCAAAGAGGTCAGAGTGACGTTTTTGCAAAGTACATCTGCTAATGCTTTCCACCTTCTGATCCAAGACCATTCGAACTAAGATTCAAAGAAGTCAAAGTGGTGTTTTTGCAAAGCGCATCTGTTAATGCTTTTCTTCCTTCTGATCCAAGATCATTGTTTTGAAGATTCAAGGAAGTCAAAGTGGTGCTCTTGCAAAGTGCATCTGCTAATAATTTCCCCTCTCTAATCCAAGATTATTAAGATAAAGATTCAAACTTTCAGCGTGGTGTTCTTGCAAAGTGCATCTGCTAATTTTTTTACACCTTCTGATCCAAGATCATTATAACTAAGATCCAAAGAAGTTAGTGGGATGTTCTTGCAAATTGCGTCTGCTAATGCTTTTCCTTCTTCTGATCCAAGATTATTATAATTAAGATTCAAAGATGTTAGCGTGATGTTTTTGCAAAGTACATCTGCTAATGCTTTTTCTCCTTCTGATCCAAGATCATTGTTTTTTAAGATTCAAAGAAGTCAAAGTGGTGTTTTTGCAAAGTGTATTTGCTAATGCTTTTCCTCCTTCTGATCCAAGATCATTATAACTAAGATTCAAAGATGTCAGCGTGGTGTTTTTGCAAATCCAAGGTAATTATAACTAAGATCCAAAAGGTTAGTGTGATGTTCTTGCAAAGTGAATCTGCTAATGCTTTTCCACCTTCTGATCCAAGATTGTTATTTTCCCGACAGTCATTTCCCTGCAAGCCATTTACCCGTCATTCATAGGTTTAGCATTTTGTAAGTTGCAGGTATATATTGTCATCTTGTGTGATATCGGATAAATGGCCTGTATAGGAAAGACAGTTCGGGTAAATGGTCTGTAGGGAAATACCATCAGGAAATGAGACAAAATTCTAGTTAGATCTACTAATGTCGTTCATTTCAATAAATTATTTAACCGATACGTACGTACTTACTTTGTTTATAGTAGAAGGGTAGTGAAATGAAAACAGGCTCTTATTTATAGGTCGGCTAAAGCGAAGAATTTTGAAATAAATGAATATCGTCAAATTAAAACCTCTAGGTGAAAATTCAAGTTTTCACCGTACCAAACTTTTTATCCGTGAAAATTGTAATATTGCATAATTCATTAAAGGTATACTGTATATAATTTTTGAAATATCGATATCTATAAATCTTGTATTATCTAAATATCTATCAAGATTTATGTCATTAATGTACTGCATTGCAATTGTCCATTACTATTGCTATTACTATTCATGATGGTTGGATATAAATCCAGTTTCGATATTTCCAAATTACGCAACTATAATTCTTTATAAGCAAATATTTATAAACTTGAATAACTTATTTTAAATAGAGATTAATTAATGCTCTTAAACTCTCACTAAGCTTATGAGAATAAAATGAAAGCAAATAATAAATATTACAGTATTAATGAGCCTGTATAGCCAATTTAAACGCCTAGATCAAATATTTATTGTATATTCAAAATCTGAAATAAAATTTAAATCATTCAGGATTAATGATCTATCAGGAACGGTATTTAATACTTTTGAACAATCGGATTCTAAAATCAGATGTAACATAAAATAGAAACAAGACCACTTCTTTATAAAAAGATAAAAATAGCTCTAAATTTTAATTAGGAGTCACATTCTGCGGATTTTTCTTGCGAAATTTACTAACAGACATTACATTGTTCTAGATTATATACACGAGTAAAATTATTAACATCCAAAAATATCAACTACAATTAAAGGCATTATTTAAAATTTTGTCTAAATTGTTTTTTTTTGTTAAATTCTGGCATGTATAAAAACAATAGTACTAAAACAACACCAGTATATGTGTAACATGAAGATCATTAATAATAATAACAAAACAAAAAATAAGCCAAAAATAAATTTATCAAAAATTAGTTTAGAGTTAGTAGTTAGAGGTTGGGGTAAGGCATAATATATAATAAATTTTACAAAATTTTTTTATTAGAAACAAAATTTAGAACTATAGGTATTTTTTTAAAAAACAAGCTGATCTTTGTGTTACACTGCATTTAAAAATTTTATTGGTAAAAATCATGAACACCAGTGGTGTATTTTAGTAATCTCGTTAAATTTGTAATATATGCGCTATATAAATTATCTTGTAAAATATTACCACTATGTAAATCTCGATGAATAAGATTTTGAGAATGAATTATCTCAAGATCAGAAGCAATGCAGTGTAATAAATTTAATTTATCCCTCCATTTCATCTGTTTTATATGAAGAAGATTATTACGCAAAGAGCCCATCGTAGCATATTTCAAAACAAGAATATAATCATCAGATTCATTTTCTTTAGAAATTCCGTAGCATTGTAAGAATGATGGATTTTTATTTCAATGTCGCAATAGGCTTTTACCTTTAAAATAAAATAATAAAAAATAAATGCAAAGGCACATCTAAAAATTTCGCTAAATGTTAAAAAATTACCTCTTATAAGGGCACTGACATTAATTACGTAATTTTTTAGGGAGTGGGGTTAAGCATGTACTATATCAATATCTTACGTTACACAAAGAAAATTAGTCTTTTTAAATTGGCCAATTATATTGAAACTTATGTGGGGGAGGGGGGAGCCCTCATAGTAAATGGGAATTACGTAATTAATGTCAGCGCCCTAAACTCTATGAAAATTCTTTGAATTAATTTAAGTGCAACAGGTTGATAAATATTTCGGTTTTGAAATTTCCATACAGCTCGATACACTGTTGCAAATCCACCTTGTTCAATTTTTTTTATATCTATAAATTCTTTATAAGGAATCCAGGATATTGGATATTTGCTTTCAATCAATGTCGTTTTTAAGTTATTATCAATATCAGGATTTTGAGTATCCACTCGTTTGTAACTAAAAAAAAAAAAAAAATCTAATGTTTAGCTTACCTAAAAAATAAATAATCAGTAAAGATACCTAATAATTGAGTTTGCGCCCTGGTTTATTATCATTATTATTATTGCTTTTTGTAAATTTCTTGCCACTCCAATACCATTTCGATAGCAAAGGCCTACTTCTGACATCCCATTAGGATCTCCTATTTCAGCAGATTTTAGATAATAAATAAATGCTCTCAATTCATCCTTTTTCAACTATAGATAACAATATCCAAGATTATACGTTCCGCTTGCATTTCCCATTTCGGCAGATCTTTGATAATAAAGGAACGCTTTATATTCATCCTTTTTAGTCCCAATTTCTTCATCATAACAGTATGCAAAATTGTAAGTTACATCAGGATCACCTAATTCGGCAGACGTGTGGTAACAAATAAATGCTTTGCTTTCATCCTTTTTAACTCCAACTCCATTTTGATAACAATGGCCAAGATTATATGTTGCTTTAGCATGCTTCGTTTTTGCAGATTTTTGGTAATAATCAAAAGCTTTATATTCATCTTTTTCAATACCAATTCCATTTTCAAAACAACATGCAAGATTATATATTCCATCTGAGTCACCCATATCAGCAGATTTTTGATAATATTTAAATGCTTTATATTCATCTTTATCAACTCCAATTCCATTGTCGTAGCAATAGGCAAGGTTATATGTTCCATCGACATGCCTTATTTCAGCAGATTTTTGATAATATTTAAAAGCCTTTTGTTCATCCTTTTCAATCCCGATTCCATTTTGATAACAACGTCTAAGGAAGGTTATATATCCAATCAACATGCCTTATATCTGCAGATTTTTGATAATACTTTAAAGTCTCTTGTTTATCCATTTTAATAACGTCCAAGATTATATATTCCGTCTATATGTCCCATATCAACAGACCTTTGTAGTATTTTAGACCTTGATAGTATTTTAGAGCTTTTTGTTTATCAATTTTAACCCAATTCCGTTTTCATAACATCGTCCAAGATTATATATTCCGTCTGCATGCCCCATATTAGCAGACTTTTCATAATATTTTAAAGTCCTTTGCACATTCTTTTTAACACCAATTCCATTTTCATAACAGCGCCCAAGCTTATATATTCCATTAGCATGCCCCATATCAGCAGACTTTTATAATATTTAATGCTTTATATTCATCTTTATCAACTCCAATTCCATTGTCGTAGCATTAGCCAAGGTTATATGTTCCATCAACATGCCCCATAATAACAGACTTTTGATAGTATTTTAGAGCTACTTGCACATCCTTTTTAACTCCAATTCCATTTTCATAACATCGCCCAAGATTATTTATTCCACCTGCATGTCCCATATCAGAGGATTTTTTATAGTACTTAAGATCCTCTTGTTCATTATTTTTAACCCCAATTCCATTTTCATAACATCGTCCAAGATTATTTATTCCGCCTGCATGTTCCATATCAGAGGATTTTTTATAGTACTTAAGAGCTTCTTGTTCATCCTTTTTAACTCCAATTCCATTTTCATACCACCGTTCAAGATTGTTTATTCCGTCTGCATGTCCCATATTAACAGACCTTAGATAGTATTTTAGAGCTTTTTGTTTATCCATTTTAACACCAATTCCATCTGCATGCCCATATCAGCAAGCTTTTGATAGTATTTTAGGGTAAGGATTGGAATCGGTTTAGTCGACTAAAAAATTTTTATAGTAAGCTACTATGTTTAGTCGACTAATTAGCCGACTAAACATAGTAGTCGACTAAGCCGATTCCAATCCCCATTTTAGGGCTTCTTGTTTATCCATTTAAACACCAATTTCATTTTCATAACATCGTCCAAGATTGCAAATTCCATCTACATGCCCCATATAAGCAGACTTTGATAATAGTTTAAAGCCTCTTGTTTATCCATTCTAACCTCAATTCCATTTTCAAAACATCTTCCGAGATTACATGTTCCACTAGTATACCCATATTAACATATTTTCGATAACATTTTAAAGCCTCTTGTTCATTTTTTTTTAACACCGATTCCAATTTCATAACAACGTCCAAGATTATACTTTCCATTAGCATGTCCCATATCAGCCGATTTTTGATAACATTCGAATGCATAATATTCATCTTTATCAACGACTTAAACTTATAAAAAATTAATTATTGGTTTTAGTTTTAATTGTAGCCAATAGCTTGACCATGGCTTAGTTATAGCTTGGCTATGGCTTCGTTAAGCTAAGCTAAGCTATCCAAGCCAATAACATCCCTAGGCCGAGGTTATACGTTCCATCAGCATACCACATATCTGCAGACATTTGATAATGTTTTATAGCTTCTTTTTCATCCACTCTAACTCCAATTCCATTTTCATAGCAACGTCCAGGTTTATAAATTCCATAAATATACTGTCACGGTCAAGAGCGGTAACACGACGAAATTTGGGACCAGAGATATGTGGTGCCGGGAATAAATGTAGAGAAGTTTAATTAAAGAAGAATACTGAGACTGAAAAAAAAAAAAAAAAAAAAAAAAGGAAAACTATGCTTGAAAGAATAACAATATGTGTCGCGTTTAGAAAGTTACGCGTATAAAAACGTGATCTCGTGATCACGTGTATGATCTCAAAAATAACATATGATTAATTATGAGGTAGTGAGAATAGTAAAAGTGTCGTATTATTAGTAATGGTGCATGAATTTTAAGGAAAAGTCGAAGGAGTGCATTAGAACGACATTGTGATTAATTAATTTATAGTCTAATCGAATGTATATAAGGGAATGAAGAAAATAAAATTAAGTTTTACCTTTTCGCTTCCACATATAAATATATTGAAAAACCCGTTAAAACCACTTTGGCTTAAGTGGGCGGTGTGTTGTGTAATTTCGACGATCTAGACTCACGTAGTCAGTGAGGACTACGACATATACCCATATTAGAGGTTTTTTGATAGTACTCAAAAGCCTTTTGTTCATCTTTTTTAATTCCAATTCCCTTTTCATAACAACATCCAAGATGATATATTCTACTAACATTTAGTGCATTGTATTCATCCTAGAGATGGGCACGCGCGGGATTTTTAATATAAAATCATCTAATATAATATCTGGCCTGCTTTAACATATTCACCATAAATTCTCGAAATATCGAATTTTGACCCGAATTAAGCTTAATTTGGGCCGAAATTCGAAACAATGCCCCACCGGTAGAACAATAAATTTGATTTTTTCTATTGGACACAAAAAATTAAGAAACTCGCAGATTTGTGATCCAATCCCGCGCGGGATTTTTGAAAAAATTGCGATTTGCCCATCTCTAGGTGTGGGCAGTAGCTGTTCATATACGTTAAGGCCATATACTAATTCTGCTAAGGTCATATACATTATGAGCCGGTTCTTTTGAAATTCATATGAAAAAAGAAAACCAATCTGATCGCGCGTAGTTAAAGTCACTATTTCAGTTTTTGTTTTCATTCTTTTACTAACAGATCGATCATCGTTTTTAGATATCAGAGGCTTTTGATTATGTCCGATCTTCTTTAGAGTTGGATGCCTTGGTATGAATTAAATCTGCATATACACGTACATTATGTTTAATGATAGATGCTTATTTTTTCAATTATAGAACGTGGAAAAACCCTGGGTTATAGATGCATCAAAAAATTTTGAAATATTAAAGAACGATGTACATCAGCTTGCTTCATTGACATCTGGTAATGAAAAAAGACTATGGGAAGCTGTAAAGAGCGAGTTGAATGAAGTAGACGTAAAAGACTTAGAATATGATCATCCATTATGTTCGGGTATATTGGATGACACCTCAAAATCTCTTACAAATATATCAGAAGATTTCCGCAATATTTTTAATGCATCAAGCAAAAAATTTTTAATACCAGCGGACGAGACATTAAAAAATATTTGTGGGAATTTCGTAAAAGAAAAAGAAAGTGCTTCTAAGAGGGTTCACACAAAATTTGGCAATGCAAACTTCGGTGTATTTTTGGATGCGCGAGAAAAACTTCAAGAAATGACGAATCAAATGTTAACAACATTAAGCCGAGTTTGGGTTCCTCCAAATTGAGATCATACATAGAGTCGGGGAAACCTGCTATAAATGAAGGCTCATACGTATGTGAAGTTATATCACCATTACTAAATATCGTAATGGAAGATTTACCAATAGATTCTAATGTATGGTGTGTGTGGGGCGATAAAGCCAGTTTAGCTAGTACCCAGCGAAAAGGGTCTCGTAAGAATGCATGCCGGCCAGATTATATGATTATTGCGAAAATAAAGAATAAAAATATCGAAATGGGATATCTCGAAACTGGCAGGCCGAATTCTTCTTCAGATAAGCAGGCACAAGATCATAAAAAATTAAATAGGATGCTATCGATTTAACGAGGATGTCTAAAAATGAAAGGGCATTTAGGAAGACAGCGATGAGAACCATGCTATCAATTTTTACGATTAATGTCACTGGCGACTCATTAGAAATGCGATGCATGTATAAAGAGGATGGTCTATATAAAAATTGCCTGATCAATAAGGTTAATGTAACAGCATTGCTGTGGACATGTCCTATGACTGATCTTTATATTCGCCCACTAAATTAAGATGAATGACGGCATACGGTATTAATACAGCATACAACAATTATACGACATACGGCACTTCTACTTATACAGCAAATACTGTATACCGTATCGCCGTGATATTTTTGCTGGAGTAGCTACCTCTAAAATTCTAAATGTCTGCACCTCTAATGCTCTCTTAATGAATCAATAAAGGATCTGATTGTCCGGTTTGATCTGGCATACCAATAAATTCTTTGTTGAGTCTATTGAGAAAAGTCTTGAGAATGCCTTTAGTTAATAGGTTAATTTCGAGTTGATTTCGGGTGCTCTCTTTTTTAGTGAAAAATAGTTTAGCTAATTAAGGATTCTCAAGCACCTAAATTAATAGGTCAGATAAATGATAAATAGTTTAGTCAGTCAAGTGATCATAGAGTTGCACTGATCGGCTAAAACTTAATATCCGCATTTCAAAATATGAATATTCAGCAAAATTGCTATAGAGATTACTTTAATTAATCATAGTACTTACGCACGGTCTTGATCACTAGCTAATTACATTGAGAGATATTTGAGGGCACTCCGAATAAATTCATTATCATGATAAAAAAAATAGCCAGAGACCATCTTTTTTTATCATAAAGTGCTCTTAACGGTAAATATATTATGCTGTTCTCAAGCAGTTCTCTCAATGAGATTTGCCAGTGATTGAGGTGTTGCTCAATCATTTCGATTAATCAAAATTAATTGAAATAATCTTTATATTGTGCAAATGCGGATTTAAATTTTAGCCAATCAGAATAGCTCTAAAAAAAAAGATGGTTGTTAGGTCCAGGCTTTTTTGATCGAAATGATTAAACGCGATCCATTTTTTCAACCAATTAGATTACTATATTAACCATAGAGAGAGGTGCTTGAGATAATTTTTTATTTAAATTTAGGACTAGGGTTAGAATTAAAAAACCAACTTCCATCATGCTAAAATTTTTATTCTTCTACTTTTCTTGTTATAAACAATATATACACAGACTGTATTTATATAAAGAAACATTATTATAAAAATTCAAATTTTGGCCGTCTGGTTACGTGATGGTGGTTTGCATCATATTCAAATTTTAAAGGCATAATTTTAAAAACAGTCAAAATTTTTTATACAAAATTTTCATGAGATAAATTGTTAGTAATGTAGGTAAATGAATAATTTACTGATATTCGTGAATTGCTTTTGCCAACTTTGAAAAAGTGCTTCGTCTAGTTCCTATAAACTCAACACCATTAGAAACGACCAACAAATCCACCAAAGATTTAAAAAAAGGAGTAAACTTAAGATTATTCAAAGGTTTTAAATGATCATTAAAATCAGATAATACAAAAATACAAGAATTTAAATTTGATTCGAAAGCTTCTTTAGGCTTTGGTTCGTCGGTTGCTATGTAAATTACTAATGATTCCGGACGCTCTAAGCATTTTAAAACATTTTTTGAAGCATTATTTGGTAGAGGTTTACGTAAAAAATTATTAGTTAAATTATGACTATTTGAATAATTACTCATTTTATCAAAAATGTCATTAATGATCTTGTTTTTTCTATTTTTAAAAACCCCATCCCCAGTTCTTATATGAACACCAATAAAGCTTCTTGGACCACCTAGTTCATCAATAATTCTCTTAACACTATCCATTAATATAGGATGCTTAAATCTCAAATCTTTCATTACTTTTCTTAAGAATTCAATATTTTCAGGCTGTTTAAGAATTATCCTATTTGATCCATGTAAAGATCCAAAATGCAATAGAGTTTCATTTCGTTTTATTAAATCAGATATATAAAATTTTTTCGAATATCTTTGTAGTTTTTCGTCAGTATCTATTGTGTCGAAAAATTCAATACCATATCGTCTACCTCCACGAATATAATGGATATCTTTTTCACTATAGTTTCCAGAACCAGTATCAGGTATTTTAAGAGTTCTTTTTAAGGTTTCAAGATCAAAATTTAAACCACGATTCATTACTGGAACATAATCTTTTAGAGGAATAAAATCCAAAATATCGTCCCAATTCATCATATCAAATTTAGAATTAAGTTTTTGATAAAGTATTTCGAGTCGATAAAAAGAAATTTTCTTGCTTACTATTATTGATGGCATTATTAAAGTTCTATTTGTGAGATATGCTAATACTATAGCATTTCTTAAAGATATAAACTGATTGCTGAATCCGCTATGGGGTAAAAATGTTAAATATTTTGTCTGCAGTGACGTTTCTTGTGTTAACAGTAATGAAACTTGTGTACTATCTTGGCTAAATATTAAATTAATCGTAAATATAAAAATAGTAGAAAAAAGTGTGATTATTATAAATAATCTTTTGATCAATGATAAACGATGCATTCTTTGAGGTTGGTTCATTTTTTAAGAAAATGAATTAAAAATGAGACGTTTAAAGGAAAAGATTTTGACATTTGAAGTGCAATTATTTCTCAAAAATTCTCTTATGAATGACGATTTTTTATACAATATAGAAGTGTAACAATTTGTTTAAATGTGAAATTCGAATTTGAATTTTCGTGCGTAAAATTAAATTGACCAGATATATCTATGTGCAAGGGTACAAGAAAATATTTATACGTGTCTAGTTTATATTATGTCGACACAACATTTCAACTTTTGTAATTTAATGCCTAAATATATATACAGTAATAAAAGTTGAATTAGCATCAAATTCATTATCTGAAATATAACATTATATTTGAATACTACGTATAATAAAACAAATGCAAATGTTTATCTGTTATGCAACATAACGATAATTTCTATTGGTACATGCGTCTTTATTTGTATACTTTAATAAATACATTTGTCCACGCGTTTGCTTGTGTAGCCGAAAGTGGAAATCAAATAGCAAAAGAAGGCAAAAGAAGCAATTCAGAAAAGGCAAACGCAAAATAATATTGAGACACGTAGTTAGATAAGTTTAACAATTCGAAGAATACTTTTGAATTCGACCTTGGAATAATTAATGATTTTAAGATCTCTCGTGTTTTGATTTCAAATTCATAAGGAGCAAATAATAAAGCAGACGATATAAAACATAATTAGTACATACACGAGACCATTACGTACTATATACGTATTTTTACAAAAAGAAATTTCGTTAAAAGTCATTTTACCTATGATTCGTTTTACCCAAATGCGAAAAAGAATTATTATTTCTCCTCTGATATTAGGCATCAGAAATGACTCATTTATGATACATTGCTTTAATTGTTATCGGTCATGTGGATGATAACTAATTTATATGACATTCACTGTAAAGAAATTCATCGGATAAAATTATTGAATAATTAGGATATTTAATTTAAAAATAACTCGCTCTTAGTGAGGCCTATAACTGAGGACTTGGATCCAAGACCGCTACCATTAAGCGAAATGCGGAGTACAGCAAAAAGAAAAAAAAAAGAAGTTTTTTATACTTTTGATTTATTGTTATTTTTTATAGAAGATACATTAATTCACTATATAGTAATATTATTGTATAGCGATAGTTTTTAACTTCGTATTGCTTTGGGAATTATACTAGGTTAATGCGTAGCATTGTGTGTCCGGAGCACATGATAATTATCATATTGCACAAACGCGTGATGTGCTTTTGTTACACTAAAGTACAAATATAGACACGCGTGCGGACAGACATGAATTTTCAAATTTACATTTTTGATGCACCAGTAATGAATTAATCAAGAACGTAACCTTCGTATCACCATGACTAAACATTAAAAGTCCTCCGCTACGCTCCGGACAATTATTCAGTGTTAAACAAGTGGTGGAGAGTATTACACAAACTAGTGTAAATTAAAATGGTGGTTCAATACTGTAGTTACATTTTTTGCTCATCTAATTAATTCATATTAAAGCACCTGAAATGTAACTTTAATTGTTGTCTGCGTCTATGTTTATGTGCTTTAGTGTAACAAAACTTTACTCACGCGCAGTAAGTTACGAATTTGTCGACAAAAGTCGGCCGAGTCCGTTATGCATACAAAACCTAGACCAAACCAGAAGAACACTACTATGATTATAATTTATCTGGTTATAACGGACCTGTTGCGATTTTCTGAAAGCCTGTAGTTAATGCTGGCATACTGCATATTGTTATCAAATATATTAATTACAGTAAACTGCCATATGCAAAACCCACAGACAGCAAACCCGGTCTATAATATGGGATAAAGTTTTGGTAAAATGTAAAAGATCTGTAACCTCCAATCATCAGACCTGTACCATAAAAGAAGACCCGCGGGTCTATTAAAATAACAAAGATAAATCTCTAAGCTGTTTATTTCTTATTTATTTATTTATGATCAAAAGTTTGACATGTACGTATTGTACGTACATGTCACTTTGTAAATATTTGCAATACAATAAGGGACGTGTCAGGTATTAGCTGAGATCAGTTTGCTATAGACCTCCCCCTCTCCTGAGAAATTTAGTCATTCTGATTGGTTATATGTATATATTTAGAGATTTTGTCTACCTCCCCTTACCCAGGGTTGTGAATAGACAATAGACAAGTCAATAGACTCAATAGACAGCCAATGGATTGGGCAATAGACAAATTACTATATAATTTAAACCAATCTGATTGGTTAATTTTAGATATCACTATCTTGCTAATATATAAAAAACTATTAGTTTAAAGCCCAATAGACATTAGATTCATTAGACCAATAGAATTCCAATAGATCATTAGACAATTAGACAATTAGACAATAATTTTTTAGACTATGCCTATTCACTTAGGGTTAGGGTGAGAGTTTATATTAATAAAATTTTTTACGAGGTGAATTTTTAATATCCCTGCTCTACCTACGATATCAGCTGATATCTGACACTTCCCTAATTGGATCCATTTTTTTACAAATGTTTAATTGTCGTTATGTTAAAAAGTTTAGGCTAATAACCGGTTGGATCAAATTCTACAAAATAAATTTCTTGGTTTTCGTAGACCCAGTGACCCGGTTTTTTTTTATATAAATTTTTTTCAATAAAATAACAAGTATCTTTATATTAATACTGTATTAAAAATGCTCTAACCCTAACTTTAACATAGATCCTAACCCTAATCTAAACGAACTTTAAAGTATTTTTCGGTGCGTTACACATAATAATAATCTAACTGATATATGTGATCACGTGACATAGCGAAACAAGTACACGCTGAAACCCAAGTCTTCAAAGCCAAACATTCCACGAACGTAATATCTAGGGGCTTGGTCGTCACCATGACACGTTAAATGGACTTTAATTCTCACGATATAACTATATCGATCATTTTTCCCTTTATCGTTATCGTTATGTGCTAATTATTAAAGTATGCCAATACCGGAATATTCTATATAGGGAAAATATCACGCAAACATACATGTGGAAGTTTAAATCTTTACGGATAAATATCGATAATTTATCGTTATAGATAAACCTAAGTTATTCGATAATGATAAATAACAAGTTTGGATTGTAAAATGAATAGACAATGCGATATATACAGTATTTTGGTTGGTGAATTTAATTATGATAGTACGTACGTAAGTAGCTGCGTGACATTGTGAATGGATGATTATAGAGATATTGAATAACCCTGATACAGAATAGTTATACATATCTAGTACGTACGTACATATCATATTTAGCAGCGCTACTCACTTCACCGAAGCCATTCACCAAAAGTTCATTTATCCAACATTACATAGGGTTAAGTTAGCATTTGATTAGTTGTGTGATGTTGCTATTGGTGAAATGGCTGTTGGTGTAGTAAGGCAGATCCAATGTTTAGATACATAAAGAATATCGGATGCACAATTAAAGCAGTATATCCATATTGATATGAGATTGGGGTGTCTAATATCTGTTTAATCACAAACATAGTGCAAACTACATTAATGAATTTTTTTTCCAGTGATTTTCCGACTTACAATTAGATCTTCCGATTTCACTATTTCCTATATATCGCTCAAATTTTTATTTCTCCTGAAGTATTTAATATTTTCAAATCCTGTAAACTGTTTATACTTTATGAAACATATATTCAAAAAGTAACAACGTTACATTTTACATATGATATATAAAAAATTATAATGATCAGGGTTTTATAGTTACTTATATGAGGATCATTTACCGGTTTTAATTTGGCGACCATAATATTCCATAAGCTAAGTATAAAACTAGAGCTATGACCCGGGTCAGAAAATACTGACCCGGGTTTGACCCGGGTCGGAAAATATTGACCCGGGTTGTGACCCGGGTTAACATTCATAGAAAAACATTCATACGATTGGCTAATTTTTGTAGATCTACCCGTGATTTTCCGTGACAATTAACCAATCAAAATACGTAATTTTTAAGAAGACTTATCATTATTTTAATAATACTACTACAGCATTAGAAAATGAAAAAAAAACTCATAAAAAAGCTTATAAACTATAAATACACTCCAAGGAATTTATCACATATATTTAGAGGATAGATAAACACGCGTAAAGTGGGGTGAGTGTAATATTTATTAATAATAAACCCACGCTTGTTAAAGAATCTACAAGCTATAAACCAAACTTTAAATTCACATTGACCGACTAAATTTAAACATTAAATACGGGTCTTCTACTACTAAAGAGCTTGTACCTATTCAAATTAAACGGAAGCAACAAAAAATTTATTCAAAATCTAACATAATAAAGTAGTTTTAGACAAAGATGTTTCCAGTTACCTTCACTATACGGTATAATATGATATGGTCCAATAAACGGCAAGCATATTTTGTCTTTTAAGTGAAGTTCTTTGGGATCCCGATTATTTTCTGATTATTTTGTATAGTGAATATTCACGCTCTAACGAAACTAATAGTAAAAAAAAATCGTATTTTTTATTAGTGAAACGTTGAGTTCTTAAAAAGTACTTTAAAGTGTATAAATAAGTTACCCGGGTAATTGAGAAGATATGCAACTCAACAGCCAATTTGCATTCTATATACAGCAATAAGCAATTTTGAGTTATTTAATGTAACGATACTTACATAAAGTTGGCGTAACATCTTAATAAAGCAAACACTTATCTAATTAGTATCCAGACTTAATCGATTTCAAGGATTTGTC